TGGAAGAACGAGGACTTTTGAAACACTCCTACGGACTACCTTACGTGATACCAGTCATTGATCATATACCATGGCAGAAGAAACCAATACCAATACCAGCTGCTATTAAGGATGATTACGTGGAACTAGTGCGGGAACGAATACGGGCCGGCTTATACGAGCAATCCACTTCCAGCTACTCTAGTCCAGTTTTTTGTGTTGCAAAGCATGATGGGAAATTACGGATTGTGCACGACCTACAGGAAATGAATCGAGTAACCATCAAGGACGCAGGATTACCACCAGCAACAGAAGAATTTGTGGAAGCCTTTGCTGGACGAGCCTGTTATGGACTAGGAGATATTATGGGAGGATACGACGAACGAGAATTGGCGGAAGAATCAAGGCCTTTAACCACTTTTGATACACCTTTGGGAAGATTTCAACTAACCAGACTTCCTCAAGGGGCCACAAACTCGGTTGCAGTCTATCAAGCTCAAATGATGTGGATTCTTCAAGACGAAATTCCGGAATACGTGGGAGTATTTATTGACGATGGCGGAATAAAGGGACCTCGAACCACTTACAACGATGAAGTTCTGGAAGAAAACCCGGGGATACGACGATTTATCTGGGAATATGCTCAGACTTTGGAGAGAGTGCTTTTTAGGATTGAAGAAGCCGGACTCACTATTTCTGGAAAGAAGTTCGCTTGCTGTGTACCTGCATTGGATATTGTTGGACACGTGGTCAGCAAAGAAGGACGCAAAGTTTCAGTACAGAAGAAAAACAAAATCACTACATGGCCAACTCCAAACAGTCTCACTGAACTACGAGGATTCATGGGAATAGTCACTTACGTCCGCATTTTTGTCAAAGACCTAGCAGAAATTGCGGCACCTCTACGGAAACTCACACGGAAAGACATTAGTTGGGCATGGTCTGGAGAATGTAATGAAGCATTTAACAAACTTAAACAAATAATTGGGGAAGATATCACCTTGAAAAATCTGGACTATTCGGAAGGCGCAGGACTGATTGTGCTAGCGGTGGATTCAAGTTTCATTGCAGCAGGAGCGGTTTTGGCCCAACAAGAACTAGAGACAGGTTTGAATAGACCAGTTTTATACGAGTCAATAGTGTTTTCACCCGTGGAATCCAAATATTCTCAGCCAAAATTAGAATTATGCGGAGTCTCTCGAATCCTCAAGAAGCTACAAACTCTTCTTTGGGGTCAACACTTCGAATTACAAGTTGATGCGCAATCACTTATTCAAATGATTAACTCACCTTCACTTCCAAATGCACCCATGACGCGATGGGTGGCCTTTATTCAACTCTTCTCATTCGACATAGTGCATAAACCGGGAAAAACATTTACCTTACCGGATGCTTTATCCAGAAGACCTATCAGTGACGAAGAGGAAGAATTCTATGAAGATCAGCCAGATTTTGATGAAGATGAGCCAGTGATACGAGCAACTTACCAGTTCCGGACATTTTCAATATCAGAAGAACTTTTGGAATGGGAAGCACCGGGATTCTGGATGGACCTTAAAAATTACTTAAGTACAATGAAGCGACCAACAGGCATGGATCCTGAGGAATACCGGTCAATAAAGCGAAAATCAGTTAACTTCTTTATCCAAGATGGACGACTCATGCGGCGACACTCTCCCATGGCTCAATTGGTTATCTCCAACATCTCTTACCAAAGTAAACTCTTGCGAAAAGTCCATGAAGAATTGGGGCACAGAGGATTGGAGGAAACTTATCAACGCCTGGTTTGCAGATTTTGGTGGCCCAGTTTGAAGAAGAAAACAAAGTTGTGGGTTCAAAGTTGTGAGGCCTGCCAGAAAAGAGATGCTTTAGTACCTAGAGAAATCAGGGACCCAACCGGGGCGACGACTATATTTGGACGAGTGGCGTTGGACGTTTGCCATATCAAAGCAGGACGATACAAATATTTAATAATTGCTAGAGATGACCTTTCCGGATGGGCAGAAGCGGCACCACTTGTCAAGTTAACAGCAGCTGCTATTTCTAAATTCCTTCTAGAAGACTGGGTGTATCGATACGGAGCAATCAAGACAGTTACGGTGGACAATGGGCCAGAATTCAAGAACGAGTTTATTACGGCGGTGGAAAGCATTGGAGCCAAATTCAAACCAACTACGCCGTACTACCCTGAAGCAAATGGGATGATTGAGAGAGGCCACAGGCCAATCAAAGATACATTAGTAAAACTGTGTGGCGAATCAGGCGGAAAATGGAGGGAATATTTACCTTTAGTTTTATTTTCAGACAGAATCTCAACAAAAAGGACTACTGGATATTCTCCGTATGAACTGATGTTTGGTCAAAAGGCGGTTCTCCCTGTGGATATCGAAATGGACACTTACCTGGGAATTGATTGGACGGAAATAAGTACTACGGCAGAACTTCTGGAAGCAAGGACGAAACAATTGGAAAGACGAGACGAAATTTTGGACATAGCTCACAACAAAATGATGGAAACTCGAGAAAACTCTGTTCGGTTCTGGGATCGAAAAATGGCGGCCAGATTACGACAACCACTTCAACCCGGGGACCTAGTATTAACTTATAACAAGAGTCTAGAGGATCAGTGGGGAAAATTATTTGAAAATCGATGGAATGGGCCATTCAAAGTCAAAAAACAACTCAATGGAGGATCATACATACTGGAAGAACTGGATGGAGTAGAATTAAAAAGGGCTTATGCCGCATCTCACATCAAAAGGTTCTACCCACGTGGACGTCCTTTGGCAGAAATTCGGGATGAAGAAGACTCACCTTCAGATTCAGATCATAGCTCAGAAGGTAGCTCAGACAGGGATTCTGACACTTCAGAATAAAAACATTTTTTTTCATAGTTTCCTCTGGAGTTTATTCTGTAATTTTAAGTCAGTGCCATCATCATACAAGAAACACATAAAGTAAAAAAAAAAAAAAAAAAAAAAAAAAAAAAAAAACAGCTGGAAATAAGACATAAATTACCAAAAATATATCACATACTAGTCATTTTTTCTTGAGTTGGGGGAGGAAACTCCACATTCTCTTTCTCCAAAAAAAAAATTGTTTCTCACAATAGTTCTTCTCACTCAAACTTACTTAAAGCCAAGATGGTTGAGGACAACCATCAGAGTTGGGGGAGGGGGGTCTGAAATGGTAGTTTGGGAAAAATTAAAAATTTATTTACTTAGAAAGTTAAAAGAAGAAAAAGAAAAAAAAAAAGTGTAACTAATAATAACTTAAGTCAGGAGGATACAACTTTTTTTGGGGTTTAAAAGAGTTTAAACTTTTTTTCTTGTTACTGTTACCTTTTAAAGATTTTTTTGGGCTTTGAAGAAGAAGAAAAGTGGAAATAACTTAGAACTTTCTGGTGCTCAAATAAGTGGATCTCTTGTTTCTAAAGAACCACTGCATATTCTCAAAGAACATTACCCGGCGGTCAGATTCAGCTAAAGAGGAGGGGGGGTATTCAGAGCACATATCCACATATTCCGGCGCAATACCCTCAAAAATGCGCATGACGTCTTCCTCGGTGTAGATACACACGGCGGTCGGTGGGGTGTTGTCGTCGAGGAGGAGTTTTTGGACTCCTTGGTGGTTCAAATTGATATAGTTGGAGATGAGCGGATAGGTGGACGAGGAATCCGAGTCGTTGGACGAAGATTCAGAGCTAGACGGTTGAGACGAAGCCAGAGTAGGAGCCGGGACAGGAAGGTTCAGGGTGCGAAGGAAGGGAACCGGGAGTCCAGGAGGAAGCTCAGGGTCGTGGACGTTCCACGGGACACAGACAAAGGGGTGCGGCTTTGGAAAGAGTCGAGGGATAGGTACTTTATCCGGAATAGAAGACTGAAAGAAGGGTTGTTAGATACTTGGAAAAGGAGGATGAAACGAAAAAAGAAACAACTTACACAATCGTAGTGGCGAGACGGGTCATTAATCGCGTGCCACTTGTCCTTCAGAGGGAAGTAGTGGGTCCTGGTTTCAACAATCTCCATCCCCTTTGGGATGTAGACCAATGAGGCGGAGCAAGCAAGCTCGGATGGAAGCTATACAAAAACCAAAAGGATAAATCAGCAAGGCGAGATAGATTCAACAAGGGAAAGTAGAGGATAGACTTACGATAGTGTTGATCGAAGCGGGATCAACAGTGGCCTCAGCAGGCGGCCCTTTATCCTTTGCATCCATGGGCTAGAACAGAGAGAATAATGCAGATCAGCCTAGGTCAAGACAAAACAAGAAACAATAAGGGAGGACGTACCGGTTTGACATCGATGGGGGTCTTGTCACCAACGGCGTCAATCGGGGCCTTGTTGCCAACGGCGTTATCGTCGGGCTAGTAATAAGTAACAGACAAAAGAAACAATCAGTATTAGAATCCCGGCAGAAGAGAAGAGGGAAAGCAAGCACTTACTACGACGTTGGGGTTGAAGACCGGACTCCACTGATCACGGTCCGGGTAGTAACGCACGCCGATCTAGACAGTAATCGATAATAACCATTAGCTACGAAGTCCAACGGGAAACAGCAAAAGATGAGCTTACATCGATGGACGGGTCAGAGCGCCCTTCGCAATAGAAGTCGTTGGTATCGCAGTTATCAAAAATCGAGGACATTATGGAAGCAGTAAGCGAGGAAGATGGGTTGGTGATAGTGGTTGGATAAGGGGTAGTCAAGGAGGAACAAGTGGTGTGGTAATGGGAAGTAAGGTTGAAGGTTGGGAAGCGGTTGTTGATAGCGTTGAAAGATGAGGATGTGAGTTGATGAGGAGGAAAGGAAAGCGGTGAAGAGAGACCGGCTTTTATAGATGAGAGGACGGCTGGAGCAGGGATTTCCGCAGGTACGATACCTACCCACGGCGGTTTCCAGAGAAGGAGGTGCATTCTGGTGATGGACCGAGAAACAGTGCGAAGGAAATGGAGGTATCGAGATCGAGTGGTGTGGGGGATGAATAAAACCAAGCAACAGGGTTTTTTTTTTTGTTTGTTTGTTCAGATCCTAGAGGACACTAAAAGACCACAAAGGTGATAAGAAAGCAGCGTACGGATAAGAAGTGGATAGACGAATTAGAAGAAATGGGAATGACATACCTAGGGAGGCGAGATCCCAAATTCGCCGAGGACGGAGAGCCGTCTGCAGTTGTTCTGAAAGAGAGAGAGGCGTCGTCCGAGGAACGCAACAGACGCAATCAGGTCGAGATGAGATTAACGATAACAGATGCCGGACGGGTACTAAAAACAAGGCTAGAACAGAAACCTACATACCCACTGGTTGAGAGCACGTCAAAAGCTTCTTGGCAGCACTAGCACGGAGGAGGATCGGCGGTGGCGTCATGCACCTGTTCGGAGACTAGCAACTGTCAACCGAAAAAGATCTATAAGAGAGAGAGAGAGAGAGAGAGATGAAGCACACTTACCTGTCAAAGAAAGGATTCACAAAGTAACGAGGTCAATAGGTGTACGCACTGGACAGAAATCAAGAACTGTCAGCTCAAAACCAAACTAGAAGAAGAAAGAGCAAACAAAAATCATACTTACCTGTCGAGATGGATCCACCATCGGTCGAGTGACGCGGTCGAAGACGAGATGAGTGGCGGCCAGTCGAATTCCAGCAAGAGAGAGATGGTGGCGGATCGAACGAGGGGGAATGGAAAGATACCCACGGAGAGGAAGGAGCTACGGCGGGGAGCGGGCACACTTATCGCCGATCGGGACCTGTTACACCTGTGACAGGGCTGGTACATCTTGGCCGAGGCGCGAACGATTGCATTTCCAAACCAGTGAGGCATACAACAAGCACTCTAGTCGAGGTGGGAAGAACCCCCCATCGACATCTTCTACCTGGGTTCAATTCCCTGTCTGCACCAAATCTGAATGTGCTGCACCTTTACCTGGCGGTTTTTTTTGGAGTCTCATCAAGACAAGTCAGATATCAAAAATCTATATAGTTTTTTTCTTTTCAAAACTATATTTACAGATAAAAATTAAATACTTTGAAGACTGAGTTCAATTCCAGCCCTTGACTACAAACTCTTGAAAAATCAAAAGTTCCCCAAATTTTTATCAATTAAGAAATCAATTACACAATTCAGGATTTCTTTTCAATCTTAAGTGCTCCCAAGAATAAAAATCCCAAATAAACATAGTTTCTACAGTCACAGTTTCCCTTCTGGTCAAATCAAATCTTTCTCTGGACACTGTAACATCAATTCATCACTGCTCAAGCCAATTAAATACACGCAGGGCAAGGTTTTCTTTCATTTTTTTTTTTTTTTTTTTTTTTTCTTCCCTGTAAGATTAGCTCCAAAACACAGTCAAAATCAGAATTGACTGGGGACAGCCAATAAGTTGGGGGAGGATGTGGTAAATAATACTGTGTTTCTACGCAGAAAAATATAAAAAATTTATTATTATCTCTTTATATATTATAGATATGGTAAAAAGGACATCAGAAATGGATTTCTCAGGTAAAATTAACCCTAGTCACCCACTACAACTGACCCCATATCTCTCATAGTTTAGAAGTTACACAGGTTTCAACCTGTCACGGGATATCTTTTGGATTCTTTACTCATAGTATGGCTTGTTTTGAATACTGGATGCATATTGAATATTGAATTCCTTTGTGGTGTTTTGAATTCCTTTATTGGCACATAGTGCATATTGAATTCCTTTGTAGGTGCACATGCATTCCTTTGTAGTAGGACCTTGTAGGCTAGCTAAATTCCCTCAAGGCAGTGCTCTCACCAGCCAAATTCCCTCACCTGCATGTACTAGACTAGCTAAAATCCCTCATTGGATCTTCAGGCCAGCTAAAATGCCTCAAAAGCCTGTACCCTGGGGCTAAAATCCCTCACATTTGTCTATATAAGGAGGCCTCTGCCTGCCAGTTGTTCCCTCCAGGATCATCCCACCAGTGGACCAGATCATCTCAACCACCCTTACAGATTATATACAAGTGACAGCCATAACAATACATTATATTGAAATACAATCATAACACTTTCATCATCATAACAAGTGCCAAGTGCCCATAACCTGCCTCACATACCATTACTGGTTGAAGCATAGTGCTCCCAGAGCTCCAAGCCTTGGTTTTAAAGCTTTGAACAACAGCTTCATCAATATAATCATCACTCATTTATAACTTCAGACCTTATACACATCACTCGGAAGCTTCATCTTGAACTATCCTCTATCACGATAAATATAACTGCCAAGCTAAGCTTGGTGGTCTTGTTGTTCTGATAGCATAGAAGGGCAGAGCTTGCAACTCCATCATCCCCTTCTCCATTCAGCAAAAGGGTTTCATCACCACTTTTGAGTCTTACAACGCGTCCTCGATTGATCACGGAGTGCGAAGCGTATTGAGATGCGATTTTCTTCCAGAGAGCAATCGGATCGGAATCAGTGAGAGAGTTGACGACCTTGTTATAGCATCGATGATTTATTCTGGAGGTGATGATTGAGATGGCTTTGTCGCCCGCTTCTTCATAAGCGGTTCTTTCTTCTTCAGTGGCATCCTCGGCGATGGGTACAGTGCAACATTTCCAGAGTTTCTTTCCGCGGAGAAAGATAAACATTCTAGAATGCCAGTTAGTATAATTTGACCCATCTAAGACCGGAACCCCATTTGAAGCGGGGGTATCGTGTTTTTCTGTCCCGGACATTGATCCTGCCTTGGTTTGAGTAATGAGTTGAGATCGAGGTGATTTAGCCAACAAGACTGTAAATCTGTTAATTACCAAACTTAAGGATGTATTTCAGGTTAGTGAGAGTTTAACAAAGAAATACATGACAAAGAAAATGATCAGACAAAAAAGAAATGAAAGTGTACCTTAAGGCAGGAACAACTAGACAAGGGACACGATAAACGAAGAAGAGAAGAAACAAGAGCAAAGACTAATAATGAAAAGAAGACAGAGTCTTGGTTATACCGCCGTCCAGAAGAGAGTGGAGTGAACACCTACTGTGACCTAATGAAGGCAAGAGAGGTTTAACAGTCGGCGGAGAGTCGAATAGAAGGGAGACGAGATGAAGTGAGAACGGTCGAGTCGAATGATGTTTGACGACGAGCGATGATAGTTAACAAGCAAGTTGTTTTATCGAAAGAAGGGAGGAGGAAGTTTTGTTAAGAAAAAGAATATCACAAGTCTTTAAGATAAGAGTGACGATGATGAGTCCGAGATGATGAGAAGAGGAAGAAAGAGTCTTCTGAGAAACAGCGATAAAAGTTTCTGGAGTCATGGGGAGAAAGACAAGCAAGGTTGAAGGAAGGGACTTATATAAGACATTGCAGAGACCGCAGCGATGATGTCATTGAGAAGTCGACTGGGCTTATGTAATGGGTGACTTTAGGAAAAACACCACTAGAGTACTGGAGGGATCGCGATCAGATCTCAACAACATCCACACCCAAACCCGCATCCGCTGGCGGGTATCTGCCAGCGGATACCGGGTATCTGCAACAGATACCCGGAGACCATATCTATCACTAAGTAGGGGGTGGCCATTGCCTTCTACTCAAAGAATGGGATGATCAAGGAAGGGGTGTTGGCCAAGTGGAAAGATGGTATTCAGACTGCTAAGAAGGGTAAATCAGATGGGAAAGGTAAAATAAATTTGATGGTATTAGAAGATTAGCTCAACACAATACTCTCATGTAGTGAGAAACAAAAGTGAACTGGAATTTCAATTCATAATAGTTACGGCCGGTACCCACCAGGGGCCCGGGGGTGCCAGGTGAGGTACCTGGTGTCCTTTTCTGAGCAAAACAAAGGCAACACTAGAGGTAACTGGGTACCAACTGTCATCTTTAGATTCATTGAGTTTAGGAAAGAAAAGGCAACGGAAAAGGAGAAGTACTGATGTGGACTGGAAGTTGTGGAGGATTCTTGTGAATATAAAAAGGCACAGGTAAAGGTGTGGTTTTGAGAGTAGAGGTTCCAGACTTAAGGTCAATCATGGTGAGAGCTGGTTGCTATGCATCCGGATATCCGCGTGGATGCGGATATCCGGCTGCTTTTTCCAGCCAAATGGCCATCCACATCCGCATCCGCACCCGCTGGTGGGTATCCGTTGGCCGCGGCGGGTATCCGTTGGCCGCGGCAGGTATCCAAGCGGGTATCCACGGATACCCTCCCTTTAAAGGGCCGGCAAGGGACCGGCTGGAAGGGTTTCCTTCCAGCTGGTGAGGTACATAATTGACGGCTGGAAGGAAATTCTTCCAGCCGTCAAGGTACATGTACCTTGTCAACTGGAAGGATTTCATTCCAGTCGACCCGCGGGGCACATGTACCCTGCCGGCTGGAAGGGTTTCCTTCCGGTCAACAAGGTACATGTACCTTGTCAAACGGAAGGAAATCCTTCCAGCCGTTGTGGTAATTAAATATGTAAAAATTTCAAAGTGTTTTCTTTATATACATTTTTTCTCATACATTCACTTAAAAATCAACCAGTGTGGCATCAGAAATGGACTCTACAGACAATTTCAGCCTAGGTCACCACTGGATGCAACATTGGAACCCTCATGGATTGGAAGTTACACCCCTACGGACGCATATCACAAGCCAATACCCAGTCAAGCACATGTCACAACCCTCAAATCACCTCTCAGTTATGCTTATACACAGCTCACAGTATACACATAATTTCCCACACCTCTTTATCTCCACCACATAAATTAGTTTGGTTTTATTTGTCATCTCATGCACTGCCTTTGCAGGCTGCCCAGTCTTGATTGAATTACTTTTCCCACAGTTTATTAATTTTCTCACCTCACTTATGACAACAGCTGGATTTTTCCCACAATTTATTGCCTCATTTGAAACTTTCTCAAATTATTTACGCACTGCAGCACAGCCTTTGACATTAATTGTACACAGCCTCACTGGTTAATTTCCCTCACTTGCATGATCAGACTAGCTAAATTCACTCATTTGTACCTACAGGCCAGCTAAAATCACTCTTTCTCGTCTGCCCTGGAGCTAAATTCCCTCACATTTGTCTATAAAAGGAGGCTCTCTTCCCCCCATTTGTTGTCTCCTCACTCATCTACTCATTCACTCAGTTCATCACTCAGCAAGTCAATACATATATAACTCACCAGTTACAAACAATTATATAAACCTTTCACCTGTTAAATAACATAACAGTTTATTTTATCAGCAATTATATATTCAACCTTTACTTTTCATCAAACAAAGTTTTACCTGAACCAACCAACCCTATCACATTATTAAAACTTTCCAAGCTAAGCTTGGGGGTCTTGTTTCTGATGGTATAGAAGGGCAGAGTTTGCACCTCCATCATCCCCTTCTCAATTCAGCAAAAGGGTTTCACAACCACTTTTGAGTCTTACACCGTTAAGGTACATGTACCTTGACGGCTGGAAGGTGTCGAGACATTTGTGTGACAGTCTCTATTTGTTACCATAGCCATGGTAGTCAGTGTGCTTCTTCCTTTTCATTTAGCCACATGTCACAATGTGTGACATGCATCTTGTTTTCTTCTGCTCTTATACTGGAGTCAACAGTGTTGGGAAGGACTGTTGGCCCCAGGTTTGTCTTTTCTCTTTTTCTTCTTTTTCTCTCTATTGAAATGAACTCATCCTTTCCAACTCTGTTGGCCCCAGTCCATCTCAACAGAAGGGTGTCCTTCCAGTCAACAAGGTACATGGTTTACTGGAAGGAAACCCTTCCAGCCGGCCATCTGCCCTTCCGGCCTCAGGTATCCTTTGGGATACCCGGATACCTGCCAGGTTTTTGGGGAAAAGGGGCCATCCACACCCAAATCTGCACCCTCTGGCAGGTATCCGTTGGTACCAGCGGGTATCCGCCAGGGGATAACTTATATCCGCGGCGGATTATCCGCAGCCAGCTCTAATCATGGTACCTCTCACAAACCAAAAGGGGGTTGATAAGTGCAAGCCAACCCCCCTTGCGCACGCCAGCAGCAAATTGGCGTGCGCGCCCGCACGCCATTGCAGAATGGCGTGCGCGCCTGCACGCCATTGCAGAATGGCGTACAGTATTAGCATATTTGTAATTCCACTCTTCTATAAGCATAACTTAAGACTAGAGTAGATCAACAAAGTTGTACGCAGACCCGCAGTAGTTCTTAACCTAATCGATACTTTAAATAGCTTGCATAACTCGTTGTAACGGTTCTCTAACCAAAAAGTATCATCTACGTCTCGCTCTTGCTCACGTGTCTGCTACAACCTTCAGGTCCGTTTCTATCTTCTCTTGTTTCCTCTTATGTTTCTGGTCTCATTTCCATCTCTCCTCTCAGGTTGGTTCTTCTGTGCTCGTCATCGCCGCTCTCCGCTTGCTTGTGACTTACGCACATCAAACCCAAAAAGGTGTGCTTGAAATTCAACCAAAAAGTATCATCTACGTCTCGCTCTTGCTCACGTGTCTGCTACAACCTTCAGGTTGGTTCTTCTGTGCTCGTCATCGCCGCTCTCCGCTTGCTTGTGACTTACGCACATCAAACCCAAAAAGGTTGGTTCTTCTGTGCTCGTCATCGCCGCTCTCCGCTTGCTTGTGACTTACGCACATCAAACCCAAAAA